TTGACCAAGGCACCATAGAGGAGTCTACTGGTCCCTGGGCAGCACCATGTCTGCTTGTAAGTAAACAAGACAATAAATCATTTCGTTTTGTCACAGACTTTCGCCGGCTGAATGATTGCATACTTTTGGATGCCCACCCGATACCAACCACTTCTGATGCTTTGGAAAGTATTGGTACAGATAATCCCAGTTACTTCACCTCATTGGATCTTAAAAGTGGCTTCTACCAAGTTGAGATTCATCGAGACTCTCGACCATTTACAGCGTGGAGGTGTCATCTTGGCTTATGTCAATTTCGGCACTTACCTCTAGGACTTAAGAATAGTCCAGCGACGTTTCAGAGATTAATGGAGGCAGTTTTGAGAGGATTATTCTTGGAAACATTGGTGTAGTTGGACGATGTTATTATATTTAGCCATACCTTTGACGATCATCTACAACACATCAGAGAAGTGCTTGATTGCCTCCAAGCTGCTAACTTAAAACTTCGTCCAGGACAGTGCTATTTTGCTCAGTCTGAGATAAAATATTGTAAGTTCAACAGGTATATCGCCAGATCCACGCAAAGTTGAAGCTGTTTTAACATATCCCACACCAATATGTTTGAAGGATTTGAGAGCTTTTGGGGTTTGTCTGGTTATTACCGCAAATTTATTCCTGGATATGCAGAGACTGCAGCAGCGTTATATGAACTTGCCAGGAAAGGTGTTGATTTCCACTGGACTTCAGATTGTCAAGATGCTATGGATAAACTTAAGCAATCACTCATCACTGCACGGCTTCCTGTTTACCCCATGCCATCAGTTCCATATACTGTGTATACGGACGCAAGTTCATTCTCTATAGGTGGTGTTCTCTGTCATACTCAAAATGGAGAGGAGCGTGTGATTTCATATGTTGGACGTTCTTTGTCACACTCTGAGAAAAATTATGGAATCACAGAGAAAGAATGTTTGGCATTGGTGTATTCTGTGAAGCAGTTTGATAGTTATTTGAAATACTCTCAGTTCACTGCTGTTGTAGACCACTCTGCACTAAAGTGGTTATTTTCCATGAAGGAACCTGTAGGCTAGTTTGCCTGGTGGATTGCCATGTTGCAGTCATACAGTTTTGATACCAAGTATCGCCAGGGACAGTCACATGGTAATGCTGATGGTGTAAGTCGTCGTGAATATGGTGTTGAAGAGAATGGTGATGAGTTAGACTCTAACTGGGAAGTACTACCATACTTCAATGTGACATGCATCACACAGAACAGTGTGTCTCATGAATATCCCAATCCAAAATGTCCAAAAGTACCAACGTAACCTTGACAACCAGAAGGCTGCTTCTGTTGCATCACGGTTATTGTCATGTGACACTCTCAAAACTTCATAGCGACAAGACAGTTACTTCAATGCTATCATTACGTATCTGTCTAGTGGAGTTTTCCGGAAGATGACAAGGTGCGCCAGAAGATATTCTTGGCCAGTTCGGAGTACTTCCTACAAGATGATGTGTTATACCATGTGTTAACACATAAGGGCAAAGGACATCGTGTCGACAGAACAACTGTGCAAATCACAGTTCCAGAGACTCTGAGAAATACAGTTATGAAATCTACCCATGATCACCCTCTTACAGGAGGTCATCAAAGTGACATCAAAGCAAGAACAATTGCTACTCAGTTTGTAAATAATGTATTTTGTCGCTATGGTCTACCTCAATTTCCACACTCTGATAGAGGCACAAATTATTTGAGTAACATTGTGAAAGAAACCTGTAAGTTGTTGGATGTGCAGAAAACACAGACCACGAGCTATCATCCCTCATGCAACGGCCAGAGTGAGAGAATGATTTCGACAATCTTAGCATCATTGTCTAAATATGTGGACGACACCCATGACCAATGGGACAGACTTATACCTTTCATACAGTACTCCTACAATATAACTCCATGTCTGGAGAGTACCGAATACTCTCCATTCTTTCTTGTTGTTCTGAATGACATTATTCCTTCATTAACTTCTATTTCGTTTCCTTGTACTGAATCATTTTCCACTCGTCAGTTGCAGTTTTTAACTGCTTTGATTCCTAATTTTCCATGTAACCAAAACTTACTGCCTGTCCATGCTCACTCCGAGAACGTTACCTGTACCGGGAGAATGTATAAGAACATTCTCGTCAGTAACCCATGCTTGTCAGATGTGAAGTGAATAAAAGAATTTGCCAAGTAACCTTATCTTCATGGTCCGCGAGCCGGATGGCGACTGCATGAGAACATGTGATGAAAGCGGCATTCTTGGAAATTACAGTGAGTAAATCACTCACTGTAATTTCCAAGAATGCCGCTTTCATCACATGTTCTCACATGCAGTCGTTATCACTAGAGTGATGAACATGTGATGAAGCGGCATTCTTGGAAATTACAGTGAGTAAATCACTCACTGTAATTTCCAAGAATGCCGCTTTCATCACATGTTCTCACATGCAGTCGCCATCCGGCTCGCGGGACCATGAAGATAAGGTTACTTGGCAAATTCTTTTATTCACTTCACATCTGACAAGCATGGGTTACTGACGAGAATGTTCTTATACATTCTCCCGGTACAGGTAACGTTCTCGGAGTGAGCATGGACAGGCAGGAAGTTTTGGTTACATGGAAAATTAGGAATCAAACAATGACCAAACAAAAGTGACTATTTCTCTCCGCATTTGAATGTATGTATATGAACTATGACCACAAATGATGATATGATGGAGAGCCTCCATGAAGGGGACCCTCATATTGTTGTAGACAGTGTAGGGTTGGGTGAAAGTGACCTTGAGGTAACAGACGACCCACGTGGTCTTCCACCGGACTTTGAGGGAGCTCGACATGTTCGCCGCTCACGACGTGTGCGACGTGTTCCTACACATTTAATTGACTATATAACAAATTTACCCACAAATACGCACAGCGACCCAAGTATTTGTACCATGTCTGAACCAATTAAACGTGGATCAATTCAAACAGTGGACAAAATAGAAGAGACAAATATCAGTCAGTCTTTGCCAGCAGAGGAATACAGGTTAAAGCGTGACACCATTGTGGATAGTGATAAACAACCAGCATGTTCTGTAACAAGTAAATCATCCAGATATTCGGCAAGGAGTAGAATGTCATTTGCCTCAGTGCTGAGCGAGTCTCAGGCTGCAGAACTGGAATATAAAAAAACCAAGCGGAATACATGGAGATGAAACGGCAGTCCGAAGAGGAGCAGAAAATAGCTGAGGAATTTCTGCGGTTGGATGAGGAAGCCTGTGTTGCACAACAGGAGGCTGAGAGTAAAGTAAAAAGGCACGGGAATTAAGTCGCAGAACTTTAAAGCAGAGAGAACTTTTAAATGCTAAAATATCTAGAGAGAGGAAATTAAGAAAAGCTGAGTTTCATATGAAGGAAGCGGGGTTAGTGGCATCTATGATTCAGATGAACACAGGTGCTAGTGACATTGAAGTCTATCCACCCACTGTGAAAACAGAACCTGTGCCTAAGAGGATAAAGTCTTCACCTACATTTATCTTTGATCATGGTCATTATGAAACTAATGAGCCTCATGTGTCAAGCATTCCTCTTGAACCAGAGATTACTGTTCTCAACCCAGTGTCTTCTAGGCCATCTCCTACTACTCTGATCTTTCCAGACATACATGCATCTGAAATGAGGGCAAGTAAACCTGTCAAAACTACACCATCAGTTCCCCTCATCGCCAACAGTACCTATGTACATGAAATGAAGGATTCTCCTGCTGCTCTGTCTGCTCACCTCGACACCAATCAACAAACACCTGCACAGCCTGCAGCACATATCCACAATAGGAATTTAACCGAGTTGCTCCTTTCCTCATCATATGGCATTCCTAAACCCAATCTTCCGTCGTTTTCAAGCGGTAAGGAAAGTGACTTTGCTCGTTTGGAACTGGCATTCAAAAATCTTATTGACATTCACCCTCACTTGACAGAACAATACAAATTTCAAGTCTTGGTGGAGAAACTTGGAGGAACTGTTAAGAGATTGGCCGAAGCTTACCGGAGCCATGTTAACCCCTACACCATGGCGTTCCGTGCCCTGAAGGAAAGGTATGGCCAGTCACGCCAGTTAGTACAGAGCGAACTTAGACATATCATGAATCTCCCACAAGTAAGATATGGTGACAGTGAAGGATTTGAGAATTTTGCCCTGTCTGTTCATTCTCTTGTAGGAATTCTACGATCTGTAGATGGTGATAACAGTAATGAACTCAGATGTGGGTCTCATGTTGACCGCCTGCTCAGCAAGATGTCTCAATCTCACAGAGATAGCTTCATAGAACATTGTCTCAACAAGGGTATTCTCACAGCAGATGGTGGATGTTACACGCTGGTGGACTTTTCTAATTGGCTACAAGTGAAAGCAAGAGCAAAGCGCATTGCTGCCGCATCCGCACCTCAATATGAAAAACCTGAAAGGAGTAACCAGACCAACAATACTCGTCAAAGACAAGAGAAAGCTACTCATACAAAGTCGTCACCTACAGCAGTATTCAATACAAACATGGTACAGAAATCCTCTGAATCGTCGCCAAAACCGAAACCGTCCAAGTTTGAGAAATTCAGGTATTGTCCATACTGTAATAATAATGATCACTTCTTACACAGATGTCCACACTTCTCCAAAATGACCACCCAGGAGATTGCAGACTGGATCAAGAGAGGCTCCCCGATGTAGCAAATGTGCAAGGTTTCACAAGCCTGAGAACTGTACACTGAAGAAGCCTTGTCATGAGTGTAACAACTTACATCTGACCGCACTCCATGAGGTCATGCAGACTGGAGTGGACAAGGTATATAGCCTCAGAACTGACAATTCTGAATTTGTTTATGCAGACCAACCATCAAAATCACCAAACGTACTGTTAAAAGTTGTGAAAGTTCTTCTACATGGCCCCAATGACAGAAAGATGGAAACCTACGCATTACTTGATGATGGTTCAATGCGAACTATGGTTCTGCAGCCAGCTGTTAATGAACTGAAATTACCTAGTACCCCTGATAAAGTGTTGCTAACTACTATTCGCCAGGATCCTTTCTGGTGTACTGGATTTAATGTTGACCTACAGATTTCCACCACAGATCACCCTGATCTTCGATATGACATTACCGGAGCATTTAGTGCCGACAACCTGTGTCTGTCCGAGTACAATTACCCTGTAAGAGAGTTACAAGCTACATATCCTCACCTGCGGGACTTGCCTTTGCCAACCATTTCCCAGGCTTGTCATATGATCCTAATTGGGTCGGATCATGCTGATCTCACCTTACCACAGAAACCTGTTGTATTCGGAGCAGATGGAAGCCCAGTCGCCATATGCACCCTTCTTGGATGGACATTGCAAGGTCCAACTAAAGAAATATCACCACAGAAAGCTGTTCAATCTTACTACACTGCCTTGGAGAGGAAAGCAACACTTATGAATCATGTTGAAAGATTGTGGCAATTGGATGTGCTACCTTACTCAGAGAAAAAAGTGGAGAGATCCAAACAGGACATTGAAGCACTACACATGCTTGAGGCTCAAACTGAACTTGTTATGGTGGATGGTGTTCAGCGTTATGCCACCCCATTATTGCGTGCCAAGGATGCTCCAAAGTTTGAAGCTACTGAGGCAGCTGTGATGCCAATTCTCAAGCGTACAGAGAAGAGACTCGCCAGAAACCCAGATCTAGCTGATATCCATAATCACCTGATAGAAAAGTTAGTGACAGCTGGTTATGTCAGAATCCTGACTCCAGACGAAATCAAAGGCACAGAGTCTTGGTATTTCCCTCATCATGTTGTTGACCACAATGGGAAGTATCGACTAGTGTTCAACTGTTCGTACAACTCGGCTGGTATATCACTGAACAATTACCTGTTACCTGGCCCTGTGTTGGGTCCATCATTACTCGGAGTACTTGTGCGATTTCGACAGCATCAGGTCGCTGTATCTGGAGATATACAAGCCATGTTTCACCAGGTGTGTGTCCTGCCCAGGGATAAACCACTACTACGCTTTATCTGGCGCAACATGGAGACATCAGTGGCACCAAACACATACGAGTGGCAGGTACTTCCTTTGGGACTACCTGCAGTCCATGCTGTGCTACTTATGCCCTTCAGAGACAAATTATTGACCATACTGAGAACGATGGAGAACTTTCGGAAGCAATCCTGCAATCGTTCTATGTTGATAACTGTCTGCACAGTGCACCTACACCTTTGGAAACCAAAACACTGTTAACTGAACTGAGAAACGTCCTTGCAACTGGTGGTTTTAACATAAGACAGTGGTGTTCCAATGTGCCGTCTGTTGTTGAAGATCTTCCCGCGGATGCTAAGTCCGATGCTTGTGAATTGTGGCTGAACTTTGGAAAGGAAGACTCGCTAGAAGCAACTCTTGGTCTTCAGTGGCAGTGCAAGAATGACATGCTCTGCTACAAGTTCCGCCAGATTACATATCATCAGCTGAACATGAGAGTCATGTACAAGATCTTAGCTAGCCAATATGATCCCTTGGGATACCTTTCACCATACCTCGCCAGGGCAAAGATCATTGTGCAAGATCTGTGGAAAGGCAAAGTGGATTGGGACACTACTATTGAAACAGGAGAATCTTATGACAAATGGAATGCATGGGAACGTGAACTTGCTGATATTAAATTGGTGAAAATTCCTCGATGCTACACTCCTGACATTGAGCTGTGTGATATAGCAACGAGACAGATACATGTATTCTGTGATGCATCAGAACGTATTTACGGAGCTGTGGCCTATCTCCGCACAACAATGAAAGACCAGACTGTTAGCGTCACCTTTATTGCAGCTAGATCCCGAGTTGCACCAAAGAAACAACAAACTATCCCACGCTTAGAATTGTCAGCAGCACTGACTGGTGCACAACTAGCTGATGTTCTATTGAGGGAGTTGACGCTACCTGTCGAGAAAGTAATGTTGTGGAGTGATTCCACAACTGTGCTGGCATGGATTCATTCTGAGTCATGTCGATATAAAGTATTTGTGGGTACGAGAGTCGCTGAAGTTCAAACTCTTACTAAAGTGGAGAATTGGCTGTATGTGAACACAAAGGACAATCCTGCCGATTGCATTACACGAGGACTTACAATACAAGAACTCATTCAAGACTCAAAGTGGTCTTGTGGTCCTGCTTTCTTGTACGAGCCACCTGAGGAATGGACCAGCCCAGTAGTCAAACCTGTGTTGACAGACAACAGTGAAGTTAGGAACTCCTTCTGCGGAGCTATATTCACCAAAGCCTCAAAGCCATTGTTTGACGACAAACAGTATGACAGTTGGAATGATCTGGTCGTCACGTCAATTGCCAAGCTACATGGGGCGGCCGATTCAAACTCAATTTCCGACACTGTGGATCAAACTGAGAATGTGGAGAATAAAGTCTACCGACAAATTCAGGAGGATTCTTTCCCAGAGGAGATATCGAACCTTGTCAGTGGGAAGGAGATTCAGCCAAGTAGCCGATTACTCCCCCTCAGTCCTGTGTATGACAGTGAATGTGGTCTCATTCGAATAGGTGGACGGTTAACAAATGCGGATTGTCTTTCAGATTCTGTTAAACATCCCATCATCTTAGACCCACACCACCACCTCACTAAGTTACTCATCCGGAAGTATGATGAGGATCTTAAGCACCCTGGACCAGAGAGAGTGTTGGCCGAGATGAGACGGACATTCTGGATTTTACGAGGCAGAGAAGCAATAAAAAAGCACCAACATAACTGTACAGAATGCCAACGATGGCGTGGTAAACCTGTTGTTCCCAAAATGAACGACCTTCCTAAAGCCAGGCTTCGACTCTACAAACCTGTGTTTTATTCCACCGGAATAGACTGTTTCGGACCGATGTCTATCAAGATTGGCAGACGTGTTGAGAAGCGGTGGGGAGTTCTTTTCAAATGTATGACCACCCGTGCTATTCATTTAGAGTTGTTGGACAGTCTCAGTACTGATGCTTTTCTTATGGCTTTCTGGAGATTTATCTCAAGGAGAGGCAAACCGTTTGAAGTCCTGTCAGACCAAGGTACAAACTTTAAGGGAGCTGATGCAGAACTTCAAAGAGCCTTTTCTATGATGGAACCAGTTCTGATTGACAGACTTTCTGAACAGAAAATTCGCTGGAAGTACAATCCTCCAAACTCTCCACACTTCGGTGGAGTTTGGGAACGTGAGATCAAGTCGTTGAAGTCTGCATTGAGAGTTATACTCAGAGACCAGTGTGTGAGCGAAGCGGTACTCCATACTGTTTTGGTTGAGATAGAAGGTATTTTAAACTCTAAACCTTTAGGGTATACTTCTTCTGATGTGAGAGACATTGATCCAATCACACCAAACCTGTTGCTTATGGGAAGACGTGATCCTTCGTTGCCGCAGGTGGTGTATCCAGTGAGTGAACTTATGGGGCGGCGGCGCTGGCGTCACAGTCAAGTGATAGCGGACCAGTTTTGGGTTCACTTCATCAAGTACTACTTACCTGACCTACAACTACGTCGAAAATGGACGAAGGAGACCGGTGAACTTACCTGTGGGGACATTGTACTGATGGTGGATCCGCAGCTCAGCAGAGCTCAGTGGCCAGTTGGGAAAATTGTACAGACATTTCCGAGCAGTGATGGTCGAGTTAGATCGGCTCGAGTGTGTGTGGGAGACAAACATTACGAGAGACCTGTTGTCCGCCTTGTGCGATTGCCTGAACTTACCACTAATGCCATTTGTGGATCAGATTCAAATTAAGTCCCTTAATTTGGGGCGGCTGTTCTGAATGACATTATTCCTTCATTAACTCCTATTCCGTTTCCTTGTACTGAATCATTTTCCACTCGTCAGTTGCAGTTTTTAACTGCTTTGATTCCTAATTTTCCATGTAACCAAAACTTCCTGCCTGTCCATGCTCACTCCGAGAACGTTACCTGTACCGGGAGAATGTATAAGAACATTCTCGTCAGTAACCCATGCTTGTCAGATGTGAAGTGAATAAAAGAATTTGCCAAGTAACCTTATCTTCACTTGTGTATGGACGTTATCCGAGGAGTTTCCTTGAACTTGCAATCAGTCCAAATCTTGACATTCCCAAAGCAGCTCACTCTTATATCACTGAACTTGTATAGAGGGTGTGGAAATTGCACGGAAAGTAGCGATTCAGAATATTAGTGATCGCAAGGAAGCCATGGCGGTGAGATCAGCGAACAGAGAACATTCCCCCAAATTCAGAGTGGGTGATACAGTCTTCATCTATCGCCCTGTTGTTAGTAACCGGTCAAACACGGAAATTGCTCCGTCCCTGAGCAGGGCCCTATTATATTGTAGAGAAGTTGTCCGACATACATGTCAAAGTGAGAAAGAAATCTGATGGACTGCTGATCCGCAACCGAATCCATGTTAATCGTCTTAAACATGGACTTTTACGAGTTGATCGCCCAGATGATCCGACACCTCCAGTCAACATAGACAGTGTGGAACCTGCCATCCTAGGTGTGGAAGAGTTACCGGAGTCTTGCAGCCAGAGGGATTCGGTAGAATCCAGTAATGACAATGACACCAACAGTGACACTCAATATGAAATTGAGAGAATACCCAGGACAAGATTTCTGAACTCTACATGGCAGTACCATGTGAAATGGTTGGGTTACAGTAACAAAGACAATTCTTGGGTGCCATTCCATGACCTGACACCTGCTTGTCAGCAGCTTGTTATATCTTTGCATGACAAATTACCAACCGACAGAAAAAGTCGAAGAAAATGACTTTAATGCTTATGTACTTATCTTCAAAATGTCCACTACTCTGACATGTTTAGAGAGTTTTGTTGAGTGACTTCTGGTTCCAGGGTTGAATAGGTGCATTTCTCACTTATAGGTTTGAATTGGAATGATTGTTTGTTCAATGGTATACATTATTGTTGGAATGGTTGTTTATTCATTGGTATACATTATTGATGGAATAATTGTTTGTTGCAATGGTATACATTATTGTTGGAATGGTTGTTTGTTGCAATGGTATACATTATTGTTGGTATACATTATTGTTGGTATACATTATTGTCGGTATACATTATTGTTGGAATGAATGTTTGTTGCAATGGTATACATTATTATTGCAATGATTATTTGTTCAATGGTATACGTTATTGTTGGAATGATTGTTTGTTGCAATGGTATACATTATTGTTGGAATGATTGTTTGTTCATTGGTATACATTATTGTTGGAATGATTGTTTGTTGCAATGGTATACATTATTGTTGGAATGATTGTTTGTTCAGTGGTATACATTGTTGTTGGAATGATTGTTTGTTGCAATGGTATACATTATTGTTGGAATGATTGTTTGTTCAATGGTATACATTATTGTTGGAATGATTGTTCACTGGTATACATTATTGTTGGAATGATTGTTTGTTCAATGTTATACATTATTGTTGGAATGATTGTTTGTTCAATGGTATACATTATTGTTGGAATGATTGTTTGTTGCAATGGTATACATTATTGTTGGAATGGTTGTTTGTTCAATGGTATACATTATTGTTGGAATGATTATTTGTTGCATGGGTATACATTATCGTTGGAATGATTGTTTGTTGCAATGGTATACATTATTGTTGGAATGGTTGTTTGTTGCAATGGTATACATTATTGTTCGAATGGTTGTTTGTTGCATGGGTATACATTATCGTTGGAATGATTGTTTGTTGCAATGGTATACATTATTGTTGGAATGGTTGTTTGTTGCAATGGTATACATTATTGTTGGAATGGTTGTTTGTTGCAATGGTATACATTATTGTTGGAATGATTGTTTGTTCAATGGTATACATTATTGTTGGAATGATTGTTTGTTCAATGGTATACATTATTGTTGGAATAATTGTTTGTTCAGTGGTATACATTATTGTTGGAATGATTGTTTGTTGCAATGGTATACATTATTGTTGGAATGGTTGTTTGTTGCAATGGTATACATTATTGTTGGTATACATTATTGTTGGAATGATTGTTTGTTGCAATGGTATACATTATTGTTGCAATGATTATTTGTTCAATGGTATACGTTATTGTTGGAATGATTGTTTGTTGCAATGGTACACATTATTGTTGGAATGATTGTTTGTTCAATGGTATACATTATTGTTGGAATGATTGTTTGTTCACTGGTATACATTATTGTTGGAATGATTGTTTGTTCAATGTTATACATTATTGTTGGAATGATTGTTTGTTCAATGTTATACATTATTGTTGGAATGATTGTTTGTTCAGTGGTATACATTATTGTTGGTATGCATTATTGTTGGAATGATTGTTTGTTGAAATAGTTTACATTATTGTTGGAATGTTTGTATTTGCAATGGTATACATTATTGTTGGTATACAGTATTGTTGGGTATGATTGTTTGTTGCAATGGTATACATTAATATTGGAATGATTGTTTGTTCAGTGGTATACATTATTGTTGGAATGATTGTTTGTTGCAATGGTATACATTATTGTTGGAATGGTTGTTTGTTCAATGGTATACATTATTGTTGGTATACATTATTGTTGGAATGATTATTTGTTGCATGGGTATACATTATTGTTGGAGCGATTGTTTGTTGCAATGGTATACGTTATTGTTCGAATGGTTGTTTGTTGCAATGGTATACATTATTGTTGGAATGGTTGTTTGTTGCATGGGTATACATTATTGTTGGAATGATTGTTTGTTGAATGGTATACGTTATTGTTGGAATGATTGTTTGTTCAATGGTATACATTATTGTTGGAATGATTGTTTGTTGCATGGTATACATTATTGTTGGAATGGTTGTTTGTTCAATGGTATACGTTATTGTTGGAATGATTGTTTGTTCAATGTTATACATTATTGTTGGAATGGTTGTTTGTTCAATGGTTTACATTATTGTTGGAATGATTGTTTGTTGAATGGTATACGTTATTGTTGGAATGATTGTTTGTTGCAATGGTATACATTATTGTTGGAATGGTTGTTTGTTGCATGGGTATACATTATTGTTGGAATGGTTGTTTGTTGCATGGTTATACATTATTGTTGGAATGATTGTTTGTTCAATGGTATACATTATTGTTGGAATGTGCATTTTGTTTTTACCAGCAATTAACATTGAACAAAAACACGTAATCATAAAAATCATAAATGCTGTCATAATTCAATTGTTTCATGGTTTAAATATTCTGTGGCATTAATATTCTTTGGCATTGTTAATGCTACAGGAGTGAAGAATGTACTGTGATGTACTGTGTATTGTACACTTCATTTATGTCCAATTTCTATTGTCACTATACACTGTAGTGCAGTATGTTATTGTTCATCTCTGTGCAGTACACTTTGATAGAGTTTATGTTTCAATATTGAAGTTGCAACATTTATAAGCAGAAAGTTGCCTGTAACTTTGGTACCATGTTGGAAAGATGACGTTCAGTGTTTCCTATGATTACTTGAAGACCTATTGAAGCATATGGATATTACGCGCCTAAGGCTATAATTACATTGTTTAGATTACACGGCTTTGTTATTTTTGTTTCAATACAGTTTCAATGGAAGTGAGTTAAACTATGTATATTTTGAATGTCAAAGTATAATTCAGCTTTTCAAAGTCTTTATCTAGAAGCACTAACTAGCTTGGATATTGTTTGATACACATTGTACTCTCATAGAGTGTGTTTAGTACTGGCAATCCTAATAGTCATGCTTCATCCACGGATAATGATATTTTGAATCAATGCTATTTCTAATTATTTTTCATCTAAAGTTCACAGAGTTTGCTATATGTATTGAGATTTGTATTTAATGTTTAGATAGTTTCATGTTGAACATTTTCCAGTTGAACAATGTTTTCTGGCTTTTTAAGTCAAAACACAATTGCTTGGTATTACTGTAACTGCATGTTCACTTATTATCCCATATTTCACTATTACTCCCTAGCTTATAACTTGTATGGTGAGAATAGTGTATTTAATACCATCTAATCTATCATGTAAAAGTTGTTTTGATACCTACTCTGTTGTGATATTGATCACATCACCACAGGGTTGTATTGAACATTTATGCTATCAAAATGTATATGTTCTTTGGGATAAAATGTGGCCGCCTATCCTCAGGTATTTATACATTATCTACTTGTTTTGAATTCATTCGGGTGGTACTCATCTTGGTGAGGGGGGAGTGATGTCAAGTATGGTACTAAGGTACAAAATCTGTTAATTAAACATGGTGTAAGGGAGATAACTCCGTTTTCTTTAGCGGTATGCAAGGTGAGCATGCCGCCGGAAAAGGGGAATAACTCTCGGGGTTTTGTGAAGGACGTTTGAAGGTGGTAATGGGTTCTGAAATAAAAGGCTCAACTGCGCACAACTGCACACGTGGTGGAGATGCCAAACTGCACAACACGCTATTCTAAAAGTGTCACACCTCGTTCCCAATGTACGACTAACTGTTTCAAAAGTATGACACATTGTTCTAATAATTACACACACACTGTTCCAAAAGTATGACAGACCCTCCCAAAACCATGTCATTAGTTGCGGACCCGTTCCATAGATTCTACTACTAAAAAGTAGGGGAGAACGTATAATCACACCAAAGGTATGACACACTGTTCCAAAATTACGACACGCTATTCTAAAATTATCAATCGTCGTTCCCAATGTACGACTAACTGTTCTAAAAGTATGACGGGGTAGTTCTAAACCTGCGACTACTATTAACACGGTAAAACTGGACAAAGTTTTACCAATATTTATGACAGTATATATTATTGAAAACTGGACATGTACAGATTAACTGATCACGGTTCACAATCTTCAAGCTGCCAGAGCCCACATTGATAACGATGTCTTCAATACGTTTATGGAAATTATCATATAATCCGGTCAAGACAGAGTAGCTTAAGTGCGCAGTTGGCACTATCGTCAGTCGAGTTAGGCAACAGGATTTAGATATAGCAGCTGAAGTTCACAACAACAACTTTATCGTCAGTGTATCAGTAAATGGGATTATCTATGATAACTGGAATAGGTATAAAACAGGGACGACACACAGTCACAAATCGTTCAGTGACTGCTCTGTAAACTCCTTGTGTATTACACAGCAGTCACTGAACGATTTGTGACTGTGTGTCGTCCTTAAAACGCGAGTGTTGGGGAATCAGCTCGCTTTGGCAAGAGGTCTGCCCATACCAACCCACACACAACACAACACCTGAGTAAATAAACAAAGGAGTTTATTACACAGCAGTCACTGAACAATTTGTGACTGTGTGTCGTCCCTGTCTTTATACCTGGAGGATTGTATGCTGAGACGCAGAGCCACCATGACGTGTGACAGGGTATTATTCAGAGAACAGCTGATTTGAAACATGTCGTGGTTGTTCGACTGTTGAGACATGTCCGTACTACGCCGTAAGTAATGGTGAATGGAGAGAGGGGGGAAAGGTGCTTACAACTGGAGGCGAACTGGGGAGTTGTTCGTGGCTTTTAAATTAGAGAGAGACTGTCTAGCGAGCTATTACTGGTCGGACACGACAAGACGGATCTACGAATCACGTGGTACTGCTTTCGTAACCGTAAGGTACGGTGTAGGTCAATCTAGAGGTTACGGGGTCGCGAATAATGCGACGTTGGTCGTACTACCGCCGCTGGAGAAAACAAGTTATGCTATCGTCGTTTGCAATTTACAAAGCATTCTCTAGGGAGAGATGGGTGGTCCTGAAAAGGACCGTTAGGTGGTCTGAGGTGGACTCTCAGATGTAGTGTGCACTGACACTGGTGAATTGTCATCCTTCGCCTGATGTGACACTTGCTACGTCAAACGTCGCATGTATGTGTGTGAGTGAGAGAGAGAGAGAGAGAGAGAGAGAGAGAGAGAGAGAGGGGAGTGGGTCATTCACGTTGCACATGCTTCTCCATAAAGCATAAACATCAGCATCACACCCCATCAGTTATGAACTATCCCGTAGATAAAAGTGTTGAAAACAAAATATTGTAATATCATTCAGGCTGAAAGGCAAGGGGGGGGGGGGGGTATGTGTCGGATATATAACTTCCATCACAGAGAGTTTACCTCTCTCCATCTAAAATACTGTACGGGCGAGATTTGCAATGGTTCGGTTTTGGTTTTCTTAAAACCATCTATGGCGACATTAGTAGCAGGGATACTATATAGCAGATGTGTGGAAATAAAATAACTAGTATGTCAGTTAGCGGTACATGACACCTTTTCAATCGGTACCGGCCGTGAGGCAGGTTGCTCCCTTCCATAGAACCACTGAGTTGTGTAAAATACCTAAATTAAACTTCACTCTCCGCTATCTCGTGACACGATAGCTCTTTTCAATCATCCTCGGGATATTCTAGAAGAGACGTGTCCGTATTTCTCACTTACTCGTATACAGGGTCTTCCTCGTCAACCGTGATGAGAATGTCGTCGTTGTGCGCCATTTTGTGATAAGCAAGAGACAGAGAGAGAGAGAGGTCGGTTCGCTTTACGACCGCAGTTGAAAGGATTATAGATATAGCGTCAACGCACACAATGGAGGACATCGACAGAGACAAATGGTGTATAAGATAGTACATGTTATTTTCGCGACATTACGCGAGTTATTGCGGAAAACTGGCGAGACGACGGCGTCGACAGTCACGGCTGTGTATTAGGGGACGATTAGAGCAATTAGACCTACCTATTGACGATGTACGTGGGGGTTATTTTCGAGACAATAGGCAAGTCTATGTGAAGGAAAAGGTGTAGAGGCGACGGCGTCGACACAAACGGTGGTCGAAACGATTGTGTAATAAGGGATGGTCAGACCTATTAGCAACAATATACGATAAGCCGCGGACATATGACGTGTAAGATAATAGAGGCGCTTTTCGTCTTCCAACTGCGCGTACCGAGCGTACATTGTTGACGGCTATGGCTACAATGAGGACACGTCCAATTACCCTTCAGGACCATGGGGTGTATATGAGTACCAGCTTGACCATTCTCAAACCATACTGTCTACAGCTCGCCGTACAGTTTGGACGTAATGAACATTTTCTTAAAAACAACTATGTATAAGTAGCAGATGGATACTTTGGAAGAGGTGTATGGTAATGAAATAGACTGTAGTGGGGTGAAGAGGCTGAAATATCCTATGCTGTTTATTTGCAACACGGTTAGAAAAGGCGAACCGGGAAGTCACTGGGATGCTTTTAGCGTAGAGGCACCGGGTAGAATACACGTGCACGACTCATACGGTATAGATTATACACGAATATGGCCGAATTTAACGATTTTGTGACAAAATACGGTCGTTTGCATTATTCCTGCAATAGAGTTCGTGTACAAAGCTTGTCGTCGGTAGCTTGCGGTCAGCATTGTTTATATTTCGGCAGTTGGCGATCTCGAGGTATTTCTAACGATGATATAGTTGGGCATTTCAGTAAAAGTAATATGCATTAAAACGATTCCATGGTTTTCAGATGCTATGATAATGTCGTGAAGAGTATACTCAAGAACTTTCAAAACAAGAGCAATGGTTTTAGACGAGGGAAAAATAAGGTTAGGGATAAAGCTGTAGGTATGTTTACGCAGTTTCCCACGCCACCGTCTAGACGCAAACCGGTTGTACCAGCCAACCATACAAAGCGGTGTTAAGCGCGGCTTTTTTGCGCTTACGCAGCGAGGTACCCACAACGATAACGCCTATATTGGATGTAATAGGTATAATTATGTCTAGGGCCGGGATTTGAACCCTTACCGTCCAATGACAGGACGAGGCGCTCTTTTCTTTTCGTACGTAACCGCTGATGGTGTCGAGAGTATGATCACGGGCACCGACGCTCAGTAGCTAGTTAGAAGCCGACTGTCCGAGAGTGAGGTTGTATATTTTGAGTGCTCTGTACCACGATGTCCTGCTACTATGTTCCCGAATCGTATAATGAGCAGAGGGATGGAAAAGATGTAAACTTTTCTGCAATAAGAAGGGAGAAGTATCGCCATCATTGGACTCTGGAAACGAAGACAGCTTGTCGGTGGACGGGAAATATGGTCTCCCACGTTTCAATGACGATAACGTGGTAACGGATTCTAAATCACCGTTTGACGACAGGGAGAGTAGAGGAGAAACGGTGAAAGACAGTAGCGGGTACTCTCGGAGACACATGGGGGAACCTAGGAAACTGTTGACGGATTTATGCCAGAACTACTACCACGAAGCAATGATAAGCGGCTACGCCAGGATGGCTTCTTTCCAGGACTGGCCTGAACAACTGGAAGTCAGCTAGCCCGGAGAGGGTTCTTTTATACGGGCGTTGCGGACAAGGTCGTGTGTGCATGGTGTGGTTTAAGAATGTGGAAATGATGTGCAGAAGACGATATAGACTTTGAACACAACAGGTTCAACCCTTCGTGCGCATTTCTCAAAATTACGTGCCCCGTCAGGTTTGATACTGACATGAGAACTGCTTTGTGAACTGAGCTGATTTGTGATTAGAAATGCAGTTGTGTCCATGCATATTTGCGAATAAAATTTGTGAAATGTTGTTTACTAGCCTCTGTTGTGTTTGTTAAAAAAGTGTTGACGTTGTCTACCTCGTGGGTATATTTGGGGTGGTTTAAACAATGAAGAATACGGTGGTCGTGTGGTCTATTATTGTAGATAGCTTTACATAGACTGCCTAGACTAACAACTAGTCTCTGAAATGAACATATTTTACTGAAAAAAGTTCATAGTAAAAAAAATATATAATATGATGGAAAGGAGCCCCTGAGACTTTCTTAATTTTCAGAGGCTGAAAATCTAGACTTGCCACATTTTCTAGACTTTGTGGGCTTTCTTGATATATTTGCTTCAGGGTCTGTAATGACAGACTACAGACTGCCCGACTCGATGTCTTTGGTAGAATATAAACGCCTTCCGTGTTGTATTTTAGAGAGCTTTACATAAACTGGAGGGCGTGTTATTTTTTAGTGTTTTGGTACATTTGTTTTGCTGCCTAGTATTATATTGACAGCACAATATTTACAGGCCCCCTATCAAAATTGTTATTCGTTCCCGCATTGGGTTTACCATACGAGGTAGAGAATGTAACACTCCGTACTACTCTTGCTGCTTTGCTGTTTTCTACCTCACAGATTTTTTTGTATGTAGAATATCACCGTCTTGTATTGTAGAGAGCTTTACACAGACGGGGTGGCCGTGTGATTAAGAGTGTCTAGGTATGCATGTCTTGCGGTCTAGTATTGTAGAGAGTTTTACATAGACAGCACCAGATTCCTTTAGCCTCTTCCAAAAATCCCAAGATATTATTGGCACGCTTATGGTGTATTTATGAGGTAAAACGAGAGTAATTGAGAATACTATTTTAGCTTGACGGACGGATTCTTATGGCCACCATTTTGTTTGTGTGACGTCATCAGGAGGGCATTATGTCACACACACACAATACACGTACGCATCCACGCACACGCACACCTGATGACCACAGACCATTGCCACTTTTTGTGACGTCACACGCTTACCCCCTTACTTTTGTGCGACTGTTCAATGACCGAGTCATTGAACCAGTGACGTCACTACCATCGTTGTAGGCCGTGACGTCATGAGACCTATCGTCGTCAGTTGTGACAGCATATATTCGAGGTTGCGTCACGTTACGTCACCTCGGAAATGTGCTGTCACCATACTACTATTGGTTAACCGGTATTATCGCCCACCCCTAAGTCTATAGCACCAACGAAACACCACATGAGTGTGATGCGACTGTACCAAATGGCGTGTCTGTCAGGCAAGTATGTCAGTATAAGATCAAGTAATTTTTCAGTATCTCTGGAAGCTAGCCGTGGAGAAGAATGACCAGTTAATTGGTATTGCAAGAAATGTTTTTCTTTCCTATAAAATGCTTATCTCACTGAATGGCTGGTTGAAGAAAGAACTGCTTAGGACACCCCAGACATTGAGTTTGATGACGATGTTTATTCGTGTTGACCTTACAAACCACGATCTCCTTTTATCAAGAGATTACTCACAATGTCTCCCACTTGATAAACTATACCAGTCGATAGCACCAACGAAACACCACAGTATCCCCGGAAGCTAGCCGTGGAGAAGAATGACCAGTTAACGAGCATATTGCAAGAAGTGTTTAATCATCGGAATTTGTGCTTTCCCAGAACATGCTTATCTCACTGAATTGCTGGTTGAAGAAAGAACCGGCAGTCAGCCAACAATCGGGATACTGTGTCTCAATGTCATGCCCATGTTAACCTGGGTCACTGGGCTACCTCAATGAGACAGCGCTGCAACACCAGCATACATACAGGGAAGTACAACCAGCTACACACGCCATATCTTAGTGCAACAATCTTCAACCCTGTAAAGCAAAACCAATTTCATCTCGCACAGAAAAGTAGGAGGAAATCCTTTGACGATAACCACATGGAATGTGCAGACAAATCCTGAGATTCCAACTCCCCGATCGTTTCCGAGGTGAGTAGCTTTGTACGGCAAATGGCGCTGAAAGGGTCGTTGTCGGCAATGGTACTACAGATGTATTACCGCAGGTACGTTTCTGTATATAGAAATGTACCCTGGCCATAATCAAGAATACAGAAATGTACCCTAGGACGAATCCATTCTGCATTGTGGAGGTTTCTTGATCGGTACTGTCATACTGTTGTATTAGATGCATTTGATATGGTTATATAAGAGCATACACAGTAACGAATATTTCACGGTGCACAACGTACACCACTCGCAATCAGCTGAACGGGAATAACTACATACGGTGTCGGTATTGGGTCGCGGAATATGGACTCGTCCGTCGTTAAGAAGGGTACCGGGTACGTTTCTGTAGTTTGCCTTTGTTTAGGGTACATGTCTGTGTGTACAGAAACATACCTGGGGTACATATCTGTAGTACCTGTGCCGACAACGACCCCACATGTAACCTGACCATGGATCGACTGGGTTGTGTGGCAATGGGAAAGGTCGGGTCCTAGAGACATGGGAAGAGGTTGTCAAATCAAAATAAGGTGAACAAACCCGTTCCATGAAATCTCCACTGTCAGATTCCGTCATGGACATGTAATTATGAATATATAATAGTGATGATACCAGGTTGGCTCATAAAGGTTGACATATTTTTGCCCTCAATACACACCTCCCATATTCACAATACATCAATGTTATATCGTGGATGACTTCAATATCTCATGTCGTGGTAAGAAAATGCATGCACAGAAAGGCAGCTACAACTCTGCCTTAACAAAATCCAAAATGGGCCAATGAAAATGGTTTTAAGTTTTCAAAATCCAAAACAAATTGCATTCACTTTTGTCGTAAATACAAACCACACAAGGATCCAGACCTAACTTTAGATGGTACTCCCATCAAGGTAGTAGAAGAGGCCAAATTCCTTGTACTCATATTCGACCGCCACCTGACATTCTTACCACACATAAAATATTTGAAACCAAGTTGGCTTGAAGGCTCTAGACTTGCTAAAGTAGTTTCAAATACAGAGTGGGGAGGATCAGACCACCCTCCTTCACTCTGTACAGATCATTAGTTCGCAGTAAACTAGATTATGGCTCCATTGTCTACGGTGGAGCCTGCAAAAGCAATTTAGAAAAAATAGACTCTATCCACCACCAAGGACTGAGGCTCTGCCTGGGAGCTTTTAGGACCTCTCCGGTAGACAGTCTATATGCAGAGGCCAATGAACCTTCCCTTGAACAACGCCGCATTAAACTCTCACTGCAGTATATCACTAAATTACGTTCAAATGAGTCCAATCCAGCATACAATTGTGTTTTCAACCCGCTCTATGAAAAACTTATTTCCTAAACTGCTGCCTGGTTCCACCACTTGGAATCAGGATCAAACCACACATAACTGCAGCTAAAATTGATCTCGACATCATTGCACCATACCGACTTCTATCCTCACCACCATGGCAAATGGTGAAACCACAGGTCGATCTCACCCCTCACCAAACTCAAAAAGTCTGAAACAAATCCCTTGGTATTCCAACAGGAATACAACCAGTTACATTCTAAGTATAACACTCACAGATCCATTTTCACAGACGGATCCAAGGACGATGGCCAAGTTGCCAGCGCTACAGTCATTGGAGCCAAGACTGTCTCCTCTAGGATCCCCGACAACAGTTCCATCTTCACCGCTGAAGCCAAAGCTATCTTCTCAGCGTTGGGACTACATTCAACAGCAAAATCAGTCCAAAAACTTCATCATATTTACAGATTCATTATCCTGCCTTCAAGCACTTCTAAATGTGACTTCAAGTCACCCAATCATCCTGGACATATTAGAACTGTACAAAGACCTTTCTACTGGCCAATGTGACATCATCCTCTGCTGGTTGTAGGTCACGTCGGCATAGCAGGTAACATCTAAAGGCCGATGCTGCAGCAAAAGCAGCTCTCGAAAAGCCCCTATCTCCACTGCTAATCCCATACAGTGACTTCAAACCCACTCATCAAAAGCTATACTCGGGACCTGATGCAAAAAAGGTGGGACACTCAAGTAGGAAGAAACAAACTCCATGAATTGAAGCCAACAATCGGTTATACCTACTTGGGTTGTCAGTCAAGCACGCGATGAGGTAATTTTACGACGATGTCGTATTGGCCACAGTCGATTTGGCACATGACTATCTGTTGAAAACGGATGGGATGGACCCCATGTGTCTCTTTTGCGATGAAGGTGTTCACCGTCAAGCATATTCTGCTTTCGAATGCGTGGACTTATCGCCTGCAAGGGACTCACATTATGATGCAACAAACCTAAAGATCTGTTCTCACGTGAGCGCGCCATCTGATACTGAACTACCTGAGGGAAGTTGATCTGTATCATAAATTGTAACTGTGAAATGTGTAACAACCATAAACTGTAACTATGAAATGTAACAAACCGCCTGCCTTTAAATTTGAAGCTATGACTTTTTCTGCTTTTGAATGACAAATGTAATCAATAAATGTCTTTGAAATAAAACTCATTCCGAGTATGTACTTACAATATTTACTAATGCAAACTTGTTCTCGTCACTATATGGCTGGAAAATGCCGATGTGGACGTAAAGCTCAACTCAACTCAACTCAATGTTATATCGCACAATGTATTTGTATTTGGCTCTTTCCTACTCGATGATTTATAAGAAATGTCGATAAATATGGTTTAAGATGTTTTTCGAAAGGCTATGCATGTCCCGCCTAACTCAGCCGTGAGCAGCGATGGATTCCTGCCAGCTCTAGACGCTAGCAT